ATAGAAAATCATCAACTAAATCATAAAAATCACTTAAAAAAGATGTAGGGCCAAAATAAGCGCGAAATTTTTATAAATAACCAGAGATTTTTAGATGAAAGGCGATAACAGCAAGTAAGGAAAGTTTAATAATTTAGCATGATGGTACATATGAAAATTAAACCCTAGAAAAACCTTTAATAAGCAAAAATTGGGGTCAAAATACTAAGTTTGAATAATACCGAAAATATCGAAAGTTTAGCCGACCTGCACGACGACGAGCAGCAAGCCGATGACGAGCCGCATCGTTGAAACCGTGGGAAAATGTCAGGGATGTTTGTGGCTTGAAATGTTGGTGAATCAGGGCTGTGGCTACCTGCTCTACTCGGCAGTCGATCCCCATGCAAACTCCCAAGCCCCGGCCCCGCCCCTTTCCGCCAAGTCGGCGCGCAGCGCGAGAGAACGCGCTTGAAAGGCTGAGCGAAGGAGAGAGAGAGCGAGAGAGAGCGAGAGAGATATATATAGCGAGAGAGAGAACACGAAAATAACTAAAAACCTCTGTTTGTGTGTCTTAAAAAGACGTGTGTTTGACAGCAAAAAGAAGTAGAACGCACGAAAATCCATTTATTTCCATAAAACTAAAAATGACAATTGTAGCCTCATTTAATGGCACAATTTACCCGCATAAAATAGAGACTAGAAAGGTATTAAAAGCACTTTTTATACAAAAATTGCGATTTACAAAATGGTACATTTCATCGGCACCCGCGAGCGGCAGCACCCAAAGAATTTCCACAACTTCGAGGCGTTCTAAAATTCGAAAAATAGGTTATATTTGATTAAACGTATATATTGTACTTTAGAAAATATATTCATATCCTATGCTCAAGGTACTCACATGAGGAGGAGCACCAAGCGGTGGCAGAAGATCGAGCTCATCCGAAGCAGAATCCCCCTCCACGTCGAATTCGTCTGTCAACCGGGACAATTCCTTCTCAGAACCGCCTCCTAAACCATGCTTTTTCTACCGTAGCTGAGAACCACCATAAAAATAAAAAATTCCACTAGACTCCAAAAACACACCACGACACCGAGTACCACCAACTCTGCTGCGGTTTTCCAGCTCGATTCCGGTCGTCGGCAAGGAGTTCAGGGCGGAGTGGAGATCGAGGACCCTTGGTGGTCATTCCATTAGTGTGCGAATCCTCATCATCGGCTTCTTCGTCGCTATCCAGTGGGCAATCCACTAATCGGCTTTTCTCATTTTCGTCGGGTTGCTGGAATGGGGCGGGTAACAGAGATTTTAGGGAAACACGGCTCCAAAAGGGGCAAAAAGGGACTGGCCAGTACTGTCAAAAATCCAAAATGTTTAGCTATGAATTCGACATAAATTGTGCGAAGCCGCGACACGCGTCACGCTGCTAATCGCTTACGGCATCTAATAACGGGCGCATGTTACGTGTTGCCGCGCGAAAGAATCGAAAAAGCGCCGAATTTTTTCAATATTCAATTTCAACCATAAAACCAAAAATTAAAATCCACCGCCTGCAAAATTGAAAGCCATCCCTTGCCCCCTCCGTTAACAACCAACAAAGTTTCTTGGGGAATCACCTGCATCTGCCCTCCTCTTCCTACGGTATTCCCTTCCCCTTCTTCATGGTCTTCAATCGTAAATACCGTACTCTCCTCGGCAAGCACCCGACCGATCCCTAAACACATCCAATTACGCCATGAAATTGGCCCAAACCTGACGATCTGATCTGATATTTCGCGTATCCGTTCGAGGTACTCGCTTGCATCGCTTAAAAACTCGATTTAATAACCAATTACGCGTTTTTAAACACAGAAAATGGGACTTTTTAAATATCTCCAGGTATTAAACCTTGGTAATAAAATAACAGACAAGAATGTACAAAAACCATTTATTCCCATCTACAGTCTCCAAAATGTCCGCGCGGGCCCCTAGTGCTTCTTGGCGGGGAGGCGGAAGTGCTTGGTGAGCGGCTGCCAATCCTTGTAGTAGTCCTTGTCGACGTTCTCCTCCTGCGCCCAGTCGGTCACTACCATTGAGAGCGACGATTCGAACATGAATGACTAAAAAAAGAGGGCGAATACTTTTTAGGAGAGCTGGCGGAGGAAATTTGGGGATTTTTTAGCAAAAGCAAAACGATGGACTCGCGCGGTTGTCGAACCCTGGCCTTGCGGGTGATAAGCGAGAGCATAACCAATGAGCCAAGAGGATGACCCGTCGAGAGGTGGCTAGGCCTTCTTGAGGTCAAACCGCGCCTTGCTGCTTACGGGCGCCAAGCTTCGTATAGAATTTTTTCCAAAAATTCTCCAATAACCTCTGCTAGTCTACCCCCTTTTTCTTGGATATCTTTACCCACCATAGTGCCATGCGCAATCTTCTGCGGCTGAAGCTCAGCATTACTGGCCCCCTCGAAGCAGGCGTAATCCGGACCGTGCGGCGTCATCATCGAGTGCAGGGAACCGCCTTGAAACTTTTCATGCAAATTTAGAGATATTTTCCTACCGCCCGGCTTGAATCCGCCCTCCTTGGCCTCGTAGCTGCCGACGATCAGTCCCATATACTCCGACATGCAGTTGCCTTGAAAATTTTTGGGTTTTTAGGGCAAACTAGCAGGGATTTTTAGAGAAATTAGGGAACGGAATTTGGGTGATGGTATACTACTTACGATGGTAATATGGGGGTCGGAACGTGTGATCAGATACTCCCCATCTCGGGGGGAAGATCACGAAATCGGCTATGGCCACCCCGGGACGAGTCGATTGCGCGGTAAGGACCGTGAAAATTGATGGGTCCTAAAGTGTGATTAATTAAATCTGTTTTAATACATATAATTAGCAAAAGGGAGTTTATTATATAATTGATAAAATTCAGTCAATTAAATTGCGCTTTATGCGTTCGTTTATTATTATTATTATTATATATATATATATATATATATATATATTCATTCGTTTTAGAGATAAAAATTTACATAGTTACTTAAGCTAAATTCGACGACCAAAACTAGTTAAAAGCGGCTTTGAAAAATATAAAGAAGTAAATGGCTTCTATTAATATAGAGAAGAAAATTCTACTTCGCTAATTTAGTTATTTAAGTTAGATTTAATGAATTTAATAGACCATAAATTAAACCCTTACCGCATGGTCGAACGCCACGGCGTTGATGACCATAAACTTGCGCAGATCGTATTTGTAGGGAGCGTAGTTGCCGTGCCAGCCGACTACATCAAAAGGCGAGTGCTCCTGAAAAATTTACTATTAGCGGCAGGCTAGCAGGGATCCTTTAGGATTCCTTTTCTTTTTCACTGACCTGCTTGGCCGAGAAAAACGACCCTTGGTACTTGTTGACAATCTCGAACGGCTCGTCCCTCTCTTCGAACCATGCTTCCGGGGTCTCGAAATCGCGTGGGTTCGCCAGTCCGTTGGCACCTAAATGGCGCCCTTGGTACCGTAATCCTATCCGACTACCAATGGGCCCGAGGTCGGGGAGCTGGAAGTGAGTGCCGTACACCTCGAGGATGTAACCGCGCGATGGGCCTCGGACGGCCACCGAGAAGCGAACGCCCTGCGGAATCACGCAGATTTCCTAAAATACGGTTTAAAAAATTTAAGAACACTGAGATTCACAAAAAATGGATAACTTTAGCTGTATTACTTTTTACGAGCGCTAAACACACCTGAATCCCGACGAGAAGTCGTCCAAATTCGGTGGTCACCTCCAGAGCGCCTTGTTGGGGAACTGAACGAATTGCTAAAAGGCCCCTACTACCGTACCAATCAAGAAATCGCCATCTGAATTGTAGAAGGCACGATGGTCCATCGTTTTGTTGCAACCATAGAGATGGATGGTGAGGCCGGAACGAGAGACGATATCCCCGCCTCCGCATACCGTGTAGAGACCCTGAAAATGGGGGCAGGCTAGCGAGGATTCTATAGGAAAAGGCGTTTCCTCGGAAGTTCCGTATTATAAGTAAGGGCCAGCTAGCGAATATTTTTAAGGAAATCGATCAATAGCTTCGTAAGACTAAAAGTTTTCCGAATGGCCTGTGCTAGCTTGTTAGAATTAACCTAGAGCAAACTAGCGGAGATCTTTGCTAAAAAGTTAGTCTAGACAATTTCCAAATAATCTTTGCTAGTTTATGGTTACTATTAAAGACCTTTAAAATCGATAGTCGATTTTGATCGGTAAATAGTAAAATCGACAATTTCCCGAATGGTTCCTGCTAGCTTGCTCATAACTATAAACCTCGACAAAATCGGTCGGCTTCTCCGGGATCGGATGCGGATGCCAGCGGAATTGATTCGGATTGGCCGATTTTGCATGTCTCGGGTAGTCATTCGTACACTTTGCCGATTGCTGGAAAGGCTCGAACGGGCGGTGGATGACGGACGGGCGGATGCGGTACAGCCAGCTAAATGTTAAAAATAAAACAAGAAATTATGGAAGCAAACATGCAATATGAAATTTTATACGTTACAAATTTACAGTTAGCGTTGATTCAGTCCCAAATTTCCAACATCAAATTGGGTGGCTAAAAATGCGCATAGAAATGTGAGGCAGAAACCCGAGATGGGGCGCATTTTAGGCGCGGCGCCGTTGCCCTAAACGGAATGGAGGGGGCTCGAGGATTCGACGGGGTCCCCCCACGGGCCGTCGATTCCTTCCAAATTTGATTAGAGCCGCCGAGGAGGGGATGGGCCCTTTCCTTTCTCCGCTCCCCTAGCCGTAGATGTCCAAAATGGGCCCCTGGGACCGGTTTTTCTTTATTCGAAGGCCGAACAAGGATGGCGCGCTTCAACACCCCCGTTTTTCAGAAAACGGAAGTTATGGAGAAACGAAAAATATCTGTTAGAATTCTACAAGAAATTCTTTTCCTTAATAAAAAATAAAAAACCACCTAAGGAAAATCAATAAGGTTGCTATATTCCACTAGAACGCTGCTATCTTGCTTTGAGTAAAAAAATTTAAAAACAGCACAAGGAAAAGAAAATAGCATAAAGTTTCTCGAAAACCCCTGCTAGCTTGCCTTACCAAAACCAAAGGCAAAGAAACACTTTTACTCGTACATATAAACCATTTTATTACGAACCTGCGTTTATTGGAGTGTCGCGGAGCCGTAAACGCCGAACCGGACAGTTGCTCGCAGTACAGCCCGTGAGGACATTTCTCAAAAGTACCCTCTTAGCGTAATAACCAAACGTACTTGAGGGTTATTCTGTCCTTCCGGAAGTGCATCCGGAACGCGCGGATCCGCGGTGGCAAATTCGTTGCCGAAGCCGCTAAGGTAGCGAAGCTGAAAAATAGCTTTAAAAATTGTTGTCTAATCTGAAAAAAATTCTTAAAAATGGTCAGAAAAGGTTAAGACAAGGTTAAGCGCGGCTTAGACTTCGCTTAGGCTTTGGTCTATTAGCTTGGGCCTGGGTTTTAATTAGCTGTAGGCTTGGCTTGGCTTCGCGTACGCTTAGGCTTATTCTTTGGCTTGGCTCGGCTTGGCCTAGAATCTCCCAGGGCCATTGAAAACGTAAACTGGCGGCGAACGGAATCCCGACCCACGCTTTTCGTCGACAGAACTGTCGCGTAGCGGAAAATGCCGATCCGTCATCCAATCCCAGCCACATGGCCGAACCCGCCAATCATATGCCTGGCTCTTGCATTTCTTTTCGGGGAGCGCGGGAGGGGAGCTGGAGCTAGAAAAAAAACGGGCTATGGCAGAGATTAAAACCCAGGTACTTTTTGTAAGCGTAGAACGTTCGGTCATTTTGAAATATATAAAACAAAACAAAATTGAAGCGCATACAAGGATTTTGAAGGGTTTTGAGGGATAAATCCCCCGGGGAGAAGCCGAGCTGCTGGCAGAATGCAAATGACAGCCACTACATCTGGCGTTCACGTCAGGGTTCCACTGGTGAAGTCGGGGATTTTGGGACGAAATACGCCTAGCCAAAAGCCGCCGATCAAAAATTTGATAAAGAAATGGCTTTCGAGCTAAATGATAGTTTTATTACTTTCAAGGTAAAACAAAAAAGTAAAATGGATAGCGAAAAGCGTGCTTTGGCCGGAAACGGAATCCACGTCCATGATTAGAAAAAGCTAAATAATATAGTCTATTACTTTAAAAAAGCAAGACTAAAAATCTCGCCTCGATCCTTGCTAACAAACAAACATTTTCTATAGCTAAAGCAAACGCAAAAAGTGCAGAAAGCTCAAAAAAAACGTTCAAAACTCGAACTGTCGAGCTAAGACTCACAATTTCTGACCTTTTTCTACCCCCGAAATCGACCTGAAAGCCTACACAAATTGAAGTAAAGCGCCGAGTCGACGAGATTTCATTGAGCGCGAGGCGGAGGGCGGGTTCGCGACTGGGCCCTAGCTGGGCCCCTAGCCAGGAAGGGGACAGGGCCAAGATCTGAAAGGATCCTCGTCTGCCTGCCCCCTTTGGACCCTCCTAGGCCGCCAAATGGCCCCTTTCACACCCCCACTACACAACACTCACACACACAGACAGACATGTCGGCCCTCCTTCTGAATATCTGCCCCCGGCCCTGAGGCTTTTCAACGATGAAGCCGATGAAACCACGATCGGGTTTCGAAATGGGGTTCTTTCCCTTTAACGGGGGTGGGCTTATCCCGGTAACTCCGTACGACACCATAGCGGAATATAAACCCTTTTTATAGAATTTTACGTTTTTTAGATATAAAAGCTCATAAAAAAATTATAAAATCGCAATCTTCCTTTTTTAAACTGTCTAACAATCAAAAAGGACTAAAAACAGGTTAAAAATACTTTGTAAAAACAAAGCTTTAGTCCCACATTTTTAAGGTATCAGCGGATAGATTAATGGTAGAATTCGCTATTTTAGACCCTAATTTATTTTGGTAAGCAGTTTTTATATCTTTTGGGCGTTAATATCTTCTTTTCAATCTTTTCAACAATTAGCCAAGAACTAAACTGGAAAGGAATCGAACCCATACCATTTACTTCGCAAGCAAAAACCCGACCTATTGGCCAAATATTCCCGAAAAACTAGCAAAAACCACTAGAATGTCGTGAGAAGCGGAAACGGCTGGTCGGCGCTAGAATTTGGCGCTAATGGAGGTGGAAGGCAGAGAAGCCCGGTCGGCCCCCTTGGCACGCTAATGGAAAAATAAGCCATTAGGGGGAACACGGCCGAGCAGAGAGAGAGCTAAAAATCACTTTATTTTCTATTAGTTTTTTTTCAGTTTCCTATAGATTTTGATTTTTTTAATCAGTTGCTCTTTCTTAGAAAAAAAGTGTAAAAAATTTAACAACAGCTGTCCGATAAACCGAACCCAGCTCCAAAATGTAGCGTCCACCCGGCGAACACCCCGCTGAAGTGGATTCGGGGCCGTTAGTGGGGGGTGTGGTGGGCCCCTTCACAAGCCCCCAGGGAGTTCGGGGCACTTATCTCCCCCCAAAAGCTCCGAAAAGCGCCTAATGACGTCCCGGACCTAGAGGGCAGGGAGGGCGACCAGGGCCACTGACCGGCCCCTAGCAACCTTCGACTGGGCCCCCTAGAGGGCTCTCTAGAAGGTCTCATTCCACATGCATGTCCACCACATACACCCTGGGCCCCACAATGGTGTCTGCTGGCTGGCTGGCTGACCGCTGGGTTATGCACCCAAAAACTCTTTTTTTGGCTATATTGGTGCCAAGTAGGTAGAGGATTACATAAATAGTTATAAACAACTATAAAATTATTAAATTAAAGGTATACGATTCAATGGAAAACAGGGTAGATATATATATGTAGACTTTTTGCTACTGTTAATTTTTAGCGGTGTGAATGGCAGCTATTTTATACTTTAAAGAAACATTACGAAGGAAATAGAAACAAGAAAAATCAGGCTGAAAATGTTATAAGCGCGCAGGGTACACGCGTCGATTGTAGCCCTGCGTAGCCGCGCTTGACGACGCGATACTCCAATGTACAAGGAAAAATATTGCGAAAAACGCAGTTTCGACCAATTTTTCAAAAGTTAGTTGTGTATTTTAACTTTATTATCACTGCATTTGACCAGACTTTCAAATTTATCTTTTTTACTTCGTTTTTCAATGCAATTTCGCACACTTTTGCAGCGGGGATAGTCGATTCGGCGTATTTTAACGTACAGCCGTTATATAAGTTATAGTTTCATCCAATAAACCAATTTTTTCGAAGAGTTAAAGTATAAAAATTAAGCTTACCGAATCAAACTCGGAGACCATGCGAGCGCTTGTCAGTGTTGTTGTTTTGCGGGGCTGATAGGGGGAAGACGAAGACGGTGTCAATGATATGCGTGTGTATGTGGCTATATTCCGTGCAAAACTCCCGGGAATGGGCGGATCACGCGTGCCCGATCCATCCATCAACCCCTCGCGAGATCCAACCCCAAATCAGCCCACTGTTCATTTACAAGCCCCGGCCCTAAATCAATTGTCCATCATCATCAGTACTGTCATAAAATGCCAAATCCACACTACTCGTTTATCGGGTAAAACTCGTCACTATCGAACGAAAACGTTTCCACAAAACGCGTGAAGCACTCATCGTCGCCAAAGTTGAACAGGAACGTCCTGGAATTAAGCAAAATCATCCAGCCAAGTCATAACAAGTATTTCAATAGGGGTTTCGAGTTACTTTAAGGTAGAAGATAGAATTTAGCTATATTTCTCGTGGCAAACTATTCAGAAAAAATTTAAAACTTTAAAAAGGTTAGTTAGAAGAGGCTCAAAAATCTTTTTAAACCTTAAAAGTTCGGATTTAGGTCGAAAACCTATTTTTTATGGATTTTTTACATAGGATTTTATAGGTTTGCAGATAATTTAACGCTGAAAACTATCTAGAAAACTTCGGAAAATTTTAAGAGTTGAAATTTTGGTAAAAAAGCTACTTTTGTTAAATGTCAAAAATGCCGATTGCCATTTCTGATTTTTCTATTTTAATCAGACACCGGGCCGCGCGGCTTTTTCGGCCGCAAAAATTAGAATGCTGCCGGGCAGCGCGGCTTGGCCGCACTTCCGGCGCGGCCGCGGCTTTTTTCCGTTTTGAGGCCGCACGGCGGCCAAGCCGCGCGGCTTTTGAGGCCGCATCGAAATGAGTTTTGAGTACTTCCGGCAAGTAAATCAGAGATGCAATGCGTATTTAGCCTGCTAGCGAGGAATGGTGCCACGACATTTGCGGCCCGACACTTGCGGCCCGACATTTGCGGACGCGACACCTGCGGCCCGACACTTGCGGCCCGACACTTGCGGCCCGTCACTTGCGCCCGACAGTTGCGGCCCGACAATTGCGGCCCAAAGCTGTAGTTAATCACACGACTGAAGCTTTTAACCGCCCGGAAGGCTAGTTTTCTGAACGGGGTTTGATCGCTTGCCCCCTAGTTTTGACCTAAAAATAAGGCTTCGTGCCACCCGGGGCCTAGTTGCTTCGGATGGGTGCGAGCTCTTACAGGGTTTCGAAATCGGGGCGCCCGAGGAGCGCGAAGCGGCCAGGCGCTCCGATTTCGAAAGAGTGGAGCGGCAGCCCATCCGAAGCGACGGCCCGCCTTGCCTGAAAATTCTTTGGACCCTTACTAACCCTCTTTTTAATTTTATATTGAGAAAAATGGGCTGAATAGGACGGGCCGCAAATGTCGGGCGCAAGTGTCGGGCCGCATCTGTCGGGCCGCAAATGGTCGGGCCGCAAATGTCGGGGAGCCGCGAGGAATATCCATACACGACAACCTTAATTTTCTCATTTCCATTCCCATTTGGCATGAAATTCACGGTTTTTCGATATGTAAATGAGCCACTTCCGGTTTGCGGCTTGGCCGCAGCGGCCCGGCCGAGCCGCGATGAAAATGCGGCTCGGCCGCGAAGCCGCATTTCCCGAAGTAACTAATTACTGCGGCTCGTAGGGGACCGCGTTTTTTATGGAAATTAGGCCGCCGGCCCGGCCGCGCGGCTCGGCCGATAGGAATTGCCATGTCTGATTTTAATCAAAAATTGTAACAGTTTTATATAGTCAAAAACAGCGTTTCAACGCTTCATTTAGGATGTTATAAAAAGTTGGATCCCGTGGACAAAGCTGGAAGCTGTCCCCCCCCCCTCCGATAATGCGAA